GAAGACAACCGTGATGTCTATGAGCACGTGAGCATAAAGTGTTCATCCAAGCCACACATAGTGACCGCTATCTTCAAGTCTACGATTGTGGAAGTCGTGTCTTTGATCCAAAGAGCAACGGCGCGTGGGGACGCTTTAAGTATTGAAAGTGACCCAGATGGTTATCTCCTATTCGTGACAGTCCTCCAGTGCGATAAAAATGGTGTCGTGAAGTGTACAAGTACAAGTGATACCATACATTACGGCGGAACTTGGAGAATTGTGGAGCCTCGTGTTACCATCAGCTGTGTGCCAAACGTGCCTACTCTGCGTGATGATCTTACTGGTACGGAGCGACAAGATTTTATTGTGGAGCTGACGAAGTGTGGAAAGACTCCGGCCGAGATCGAGCGAATTGTGATACGTATGTTTAATTCACCACTAGTGTCTTCGTCAAAGGCAGCGACTTATATTGAGAAGAAGTAGAACGTTTGCTGCATGATGAATGGTGAATATTTTTCGTGCTCTTTTAACGGACAATGCCAATTAGTATCCCATGCACTGTACACTATGTAAAAAAATTGCGTACGTTTCTTAATAAATTACAGAACTTTTTTGGAAATTGAGAAATATTACATCTGAAGTAATTTAAAAGAACAAAGATCAAGTTCTGTTCGTATTTAATAAATTTAGAAAAAAAGCCGTATTAAGACGGTTTTTTTCATCAAGAAATGACTTCGATTTGGTATTCTTGCCAAAGCGTCTGATATGACCATCATACCTTGAACTCGATTGTTTTATTGCTGCAAAACCTCGTAGAATAACAACAGAAGCATGCTGACAATACATTGTGTAGATTTCTATCATCAGATAAGAGGTGGTTTTCGCCGCCGTCTTGTCTCGGGCCGATGTTCAACATCGTTGGGCGAAGATGCGTAGGCTTTTGGGGTGTTTTGGGGGGGGGGGGGGGCAACGCAGCCGTCCATCCAGTTAAAAGTTGGTATCATTTCCAATTCATCCAGTAATCTCAGAACTGCAGCGAGCTCCGTTCTTCGACAAGATGGAAATATCGGAAATCCCGTTCAATTATCCCATTATTTTGCAATCCATACGCACTCGCAAGAATCTACAATGCCCGCCCGGATTAAAGAATGCGCGCTGCCTGGAAGATAATCGTGATTATTACGAGCAGCTCTATTTGCATCACATCGGAGGTCGCAAGGTGACTATTCAGTCTGTCTACAATAGGCGCTATCTAACAGTTCTCTCGACTGGTACATGCGTTTTCGACCCAAACAATTTGGCTCAAACGAATATTTCACAATGAAGACGAATTCAGAGTGCTCTCTGTTTTTCGTGTCTTGCCGAACGGGAAAGGTGCTGCAGTGTGCGGGCAATGGTGTTGTCAAGTGCGTTACTGACAATCGCCAGTCGTTCGAGTCGTGGAGGATCGTGGAGCCTCGTGCAACTTTTAGTACGTGCGCGACCTGCTGATCAGTCCAAGTCTAAAGATGCTGCCG